TGAACAAAAAACTTGGAAACTTAATTTCAAGAATAATATTAATACAAATAGTAGATAAACTCGAATATATTTTATTAATAAACTTGACGTTATTGGCTCGAATAAAAAAAATATTTTTCTAACAACGGATAAAGGTATTCATATTTACTTCTAGATCAAAAAAAACTAAACAATTGCTATTGACTATTCCAAATAATTAATTAACTGTTGTGAACTTGACCTTTAGAGAATAGAATTTCGATTCTTTCAGGCGATGCGAAACACTGTACAGTAACTGTTCATAAGTTATGTTTCTTTTCTCAATGCATAACTTAAAATCGCTATATTGTGTCGCGATGATCTAAAGATTGGAAAAGCATAAGATTTTCTTTTAAACGTTATTACAAAGTTCCGTTCGTTCTCAATTCGCCCCAAAGAATGATGATTTTGAAGAGAAAACTCTGGTTTTTTTAGAGATAATAAAAATGAGACTAGTGGCTATGAGATAAACACGAGATGGCGTTTGAATTTCTTTCGGTTCTGAAATGTGATGCGAAACTACAAATGTCGCTTATCGAAAAGATCAATGTCTCTTAAAGTACGAATCATTGTTTTTACGATTCATCATGAAACATTTTTCTCCAAAAGATATTTATATTTTATTACAATAACATTTTTTCTCTTTTGCTGTATTCAAGATAGACACTAAGGTTCGAGTTATATCTATAGTGAAATTTTCAGCAAGATCGTGCTTTAATGTCTCTAATGAACTGTCAACGAGAATCAGACAATACTCTATTTTCAAGATCATCGCATCAAAGTATCGACTTTAGACATATCATTGGAGAAAAAGCTAAATGCATTCCAGTATTACTTGACTGCAAAATGCAGTGCGAAGCATGAATATTGATAACCGAATAAATCTAAACCTGAAAACAAAAAAAGAGTAATCCTTGCTAGGATTTATCAAGAAATGTTACCTCGAAATAATAGTGATGTTTTATCCAAAGTGAGTTTTTTTGTCGATTGTAGGTGTCAGACTATCAATCATTTTAACGCCGACTATAACAGCAACAGCCACATTCAAAACCTAATTCACACTCAACATCTCATACTCATAAACCGTTAAATTCAATGAAAAATTAGTTTCTTTTCAAATTTTCAGTTTTTACTTGCAAAAAACAACAAAAAAATGCAGTTTTTTCAGCGCTTTATTAAAAAAAAGCAACTCAACATGTTTAGTTTTATATTTTATTTTATTTCAATGTATAATCAAGAATTCATAATAGCAAGTTCTTCTAACACAATTAGCGTATTATTACAGCCAAATTTGGACATTATCATTAGAACAACGTAAGCGACAAGGTCGACTAAGTGGATATTGATGTAGTTGTCGTCGAATTAAATGCGGGAAACAAGGTGTATCAGAATAAGTTAGAGTAGAAAAGTTTATTCGAAGCCAAACAAGTTCCTGTAAATGGTTAACAAGCAAATAAATAACATTAACAATACGCTTTGTAGATTTGTTTTTTCCATCATTAATTCGAGATGGTTTCCATTGTCAGTGACCATATGAATCACAAATAGTAAACCAAAGTGTCTTTAACTTAGTAAATTGATTCGACAATAATGTGCACAAACGTTGAACATTTTGTAATGTCAATGATGCATCGTAGATGATCAGTGATTTTATCTAATCAATAGAAAATATAATTTATCGTAGGAAAATGAAAATAGATTTTAATTATTTGATACATTTCAATTTTAAGAAATTCCAGAAAAAAATTTACTTCAAATGAAAGTTACATATCGATCGAATTGAATTTGCAGAAGAAATAATCTCTTTGACATATTTTTCTTTTAAAAAAGAATTTCTTACTTGTTGATTGATACGAGTTCCAAAATTATCTTTATTATGCAATATCGTGCGAAGTAGAATTCTTCTATCACCAATTATTTCTAGTGTATGTACATTATGAGCAATGTATAATAATGACTGTAATGTATGTTGAGTAATAACATCACTATGATTGATTTCAATGTGTGTTAATAATGACCAAGGAACTAACGATGATATAGAACATCCAGATTTAACAAGATTTCGAACACAATTGATCTTCTTATAACCACACAGAGATAATGTATTAGCAAGTGGAAACAGATTTGTTGCATCAGTCGACATTTGACAAGATCTAAATAGAATTAAAAGTTTCATATAACTAAAAAACTTTTATCGAAGACATTCTCAATACAAATCAAATTTGATTTGTACGCCATTGGTTTAAATTGAAAACTTACCCTATCGAATCCTTATAAACAAATAAAATCTGCTGATATGCTTGTTTCAAAGTAATCTTGAACAGCTCCTTGTAAATAAAGAATCATATTACAATAAAAAAAACTGCTTCTTCTTTATCATTATTATCATCAATTTGTGCTGTTTCACTTGACCGTATACGAAATCCACCATAATTTATGTCATCAAACCACTATAAACAATGGTAAATAGATTTAATTCTAAACATATTGTTAATGTCGAATCTTTCAATTGAAGATAATTAAGAATAACTTTAATATATAAACATGTATCAAGTCAATGAGCAAAGTTTTATTGCTAAGATAATCTTATCTAAATTTCTATAGATTGTTGCACTACTAATACGTTGTAATTCAACAAGTAATTGTTTACTAAAAGCAATTGTTGTGTTTCCAAAGAAAACCAGAAAGAATTATTTACAGTAATTTCCTCATAAAGCCTTAAATGGTCGTCTAAATGCTGGTTCATAAAGAAGACTTTTTTATCGATTGTAACCAGCGATAGAAATGATCTAATTGCATATCAGCAAATATATTTGTATATGAATGAACATCTTGGAACCAGATTTGAATCATTTCTCGAAGAAGACATAATGCTAGTAAACATTGAGATGTTTTATCATATACTGTTATGGAAATATTACTTATTGATGGAATTACGCCAGGACTATCTAACAGATTTTGTACAGTTGCATCAATACATTAAACACAGAACAATTAATTTATCTAGCGGATCACTGTTTATCCTAAAAGTCAATGGTCTTGATTGCATTACAGAAAACTCTAGTACATATAACTTAATTAAAATTAAATAATCAGGTAGTGATCAACGGTCAATGGAAACGTTCTGTTATAATAAATATTTGAGAGAGCGATCTATGCAAGATTAACTCCTCTAGATTCTGAGACTTCTGACATTGGGAAACTGATCAGCGACTGAATGATTCAGTTTCGAAAATAAAGATAAAATAGGCTCATCATTAAATTGAACGACTTTAAAAAGGGATAAACGACTTTTTTTTGTCAAATTCAATTCCACCTTTTGGTGTTCCAGTACTTCCACTTGTATACATAAGAACCACAATATCTTGTTTTCCAAGTCTTTTATTCAAAGTTTGTTCATCTAAATAAGAAAATAAATAAATGAAAATAATGAAGAGACTACCAATATGTACATTTTGTCCTTGTTCTTCTAATTGATTTAAAAGAATAAATTGAATAGTTTTTTTTAATCTTGTGGAACCTTGATTGATGCTGGTTTAGCAACAGCAGAAAAATAAATTACATGACGAACTTGTTCCGTTTGATCTAATGTTGTCTACAAAAAAACACGGAATATAGTTTATTCAGAAATCTGAATAACAATTTGAGAATATATTCTTACGAATGGATTTTTAAAAAACGTGTGGTTTATTTATTTTTCTTCAAAAGACTTTAATCGAAAGAGTTTCAATTCCAACACAAAATTTTGTTTTGTTCAAATTTTGAAAAATTATTGACAAAGTAAACTCATGCGATGAGATCATTCACCTCTTTCTATGTGCATTTATTGAATCATTTATATACGGTAAACTTATTCGTAGTTTATAAGAGACAGAGGTGTAAAACATTGATACATGTTTAAATGAGAATGGTTCTCTAATAGCAAAAAAGGAATGGAAATATTTTTCGGAATAGTGATATAATCATATGATACAAAGATATTTTTGTCTTTCGGAAAGTGTTTATGATTAGGTGTTCACTATTAACTATATTTTCAAGATGATCATTAAATCTCTTTGAATACCGCATTCTTTCTAAACAATACTTTATAGAAGATGTTTCGAAAGATCATCAGACTTAGTACATAAATTGTCTAATTGAGATGAGCAATTTTCAAATAAATCAATGTTCTTATGTGTCGTCTTTATTATAGCAAAACCTATATTTCGACGGCGTTTTCTCCATACACAGGTCATTCTAACGCGTTGTCAATTCGAAATTCTGATACTCGAACTGTTTGCAAAAACTTTCAATTCGAAATCCTTATTTCGATAAATAGCTTGTTCTTCTCTCATCTGACCAATGAACATCGAAAAACAAGTGAGTAAATAAGTTATTAACTCTTTGGGGACGGTTGGCCCCTTAAGGGGCCATGGTGATTCTCTGGTACTTCAAAACACACAGATCCCTATATGAGATTAGTTTTTTGTTAAAGCATTTATCAGAGAGTTTTTTGGTATAATTTGGATTGTAATTAGGTTATTTTATTCAGATATTCAGTAATGGATACAAAATATAACAAAACTGACTTTCAGAGAAAAAATTCTATAATCTAGAATCCTTGTCAGCAACGTTGCTCTCTATGTAGGGAGATGTTAGATAATGTTCTACATGCGTATTCTTTTTTCTTCTTCCCTTTTCTCTTCTATTGTGGTGGTATGACGTCATAGATATGCAAATTACATTTATCTTTTCTTTCTTTCTGTTGAAATGCACGAACATGCAGATATTATCTTACTTGTATTTTCAGATGCAGTTTTTTCTGTTTTGCTTCTTTTCTACGGTCGTGTATCATCCTCTCTCACAATTTTTCGTGAGTGTTTCTTTCATCCATCGTTTTTGTATATGTATATGACGTGATTACGACATTCACTTAGAGTATATAGGAACAATCAGTATCTGATTTACAATTAATAAAATCTATCGATTATTTCCCTGACATCATGGAAAATAAGGCAAGTTAGTTTGACGTAGAATCGTTAAAGTTCCAGAGCTCTTTAGAATAGCTACTCGACATCAAATATTAAGTGACTATGAAATTCAAGAAATTTTGGCTGATTCTGCTTCTGAAAGCGAGGCTGAAATTGAAGGTGATGGTGAAGAAGAAGATAATTATGAGGATATGAAAGTAGATGAACGTGAAGAAATTTCTATCAATTTTTCTGCGAGTAATCGTCGAACAGCACGAAATCAAAATGTACCTTCTCCAGTATGGTCTACTGGCAATTTCAAGCCTCATTTGTTTCGTTTTGATTCAAGCGAATCTGGTTTGACACAGTATTTGATGAATCATCAGCTTCAGGTTCCACTAGATTTTTTTCAATTCTATTTTGATCAAACTCTGATGGATATAATTGTAACAGAAACAAATCGATATTGTCTACAAAATTCTAAAAACACTTTACCACATGCTGCTCGTTGGATAGATACAACTATTGATGAAATGTATGTATTTTTGGCTGCAACTATCCTAATGACTCATGCAAAAAAAACATAAAATAAAAGATTACTGATCAACTGATGAATTAATATTGACTCCTGTTTTCAGCCACATCTTTTCAAGAGACAGATATTTAGCATTGTTCAGATACATACATTTCAATTATCTTTGTCTCAATCCTTATCAGAACTTGGTAATCGATAAGAGCCTTATGTTATGGAAGGGTAGACTAAGTTTCAAGCAATATATTCCTTCAAAACGAAATAGATTCGGTGTCAAGCTTTATATTCTATGTGATTGTAATACTGGTTATATATTAGACTTCAGTCTTTACACGGGATCTACCACAACTATTCATCATGATAAGAGGCTAGGTGTACCTGAATCTCTTGTTATGAAATTAAAGGAAAATTATTTAGAAAAAGGTCACAATTTATATGTCGATAACTAGTATACTTCTCCTGTTCTATTTGAAATGTTACATTCTATGAAAACTGGTGCTTGTGGCACTGTGAGATCTGATCAAATACATTTAACTGATTCGAAAGGTATAACAGAAATAGAATTTTTGGATTTTCGACAATACTCTCGAAGTCTAGAAGGTGCCGAGATTTTTTTGAGAGTCCGCTAACACAAATCTCATGTAGCATTATTTTGCCCAAGATTCAACCAATAAAATATTGTATGAAATATTTTATGATCGCATTTCTGAAAGATTTAGACAGTTTATAAAATTCGGAAGTTCTGTTGAAATTTCTATTATTGAGTTTTATAGGAAATCATTTGTAATCAATCAAACTAAAGCATTTATGAACAAGTGTTTAGACACACAGACAAACTTCTAATATTGAAATGAAAAGATCGCCGTGATGTTCACACGCTTTCAACTATTCACGAATCAAGCATGGTACCTACAGGTAAACTTGACCATATCACCAACGAACCGATAATGAAACCGATTTACATCAAACAATACAATGAAAATATGGAAGCAATAGACAAATCGGACATGCAGATTAGTTTCTTGGAATGCGCACGAAAAACTATAAAATGGTATTAAAAGTTTTTCTTCCATCTGCTCGATGTAACTTTGTACAATGCCTTCATTTTATACAAGTTGAAGACCGGAAAAACAATGCACTTGTCAGATTTTCGATTGGAAGTGATTCGATCTATTATAGAATCTGTTGGAAGTCAAAAGAACGAAAAAAAAGGAAGACCACCTTTAGCAAATCCAATGAGACTCACTGCTCGACAATTTCCCTCAATCATTCAAGATTCTTCAACTGAACATACATCTGAAAGAAGAAGGAGAAGAAAGTGCCATATCTGCTATAATACAACAACAGCTCCAAAGAAAGAAACTAAAACAACTTATGAGTGTGTTGAATGTAATGTTGGTCTACGTTTTGTACCTTGTTTTGAGCTATATCATACTTTATAAAGCTTCTGAACACACGTTTTTATAAAGTTCTTTTGGAAAATAGAAATGTTGATTGATTGATGATGAAATATACAGAAAAAAAAACTCCATCCTCAAAGGCTTAAAGACCTTCTGATTTACAAATGGATCATAGTTGACTCTAAAATTGAAAAATCAACTCCGACATATATATACCTCATCATTCTGCTCGGTTCATTCGAGCTAGGATTAGATTGATGCAATAAAACTCCCCTCAAAAACCGATCACCACCTAGATATGTTCAAATGATATGAAATTTGAAGGATATGTTCGGGGTTTAGTGGAGAAGTTATGGTAAAATTTCCAGCCCTATATCATGATGTTTAACAGAGACATGAACCAAACAATGGTCACAAATAGCTTATTTGGCAATCCAAATTTCTCTATTCGGACTCATTCTATATCTTTAAGTTTTTGTTTGAAAAAGCACCACAGAGTCTTTTTTTTTAAATTCTTGCTTTTTAAGCAGAAAGCAGGAATCACAAGTTCAATGGCTCAAAATACCCCTAAAAAATGGCGATCTTTCTATAGAGATGTTTTCTTATACGATAACAAAAAAAGCTTATTTTAAAAAAGAACGCTGTGATGCCCTGGATCCTGACGTGTTCTTTCCAAAAAAAAAAATTTTTATATATAACATAGGCCTGGACAGAGAAATTTGGGTTGCGCGTTCAACATATCATGAACGGAGAAAAAACGAAAAAGATCTTCGGATTTTTCCAAAAATAGCTTATTTTTTGAATACAGAATGACGAAAATTTTGAAAAATTTTTGTCATTTATGAGAGATTAAATCACGAGCTATCTTTCCATGCATTTATCTTAATCCCACTCATTCTGACGAAAAGTGAGTTTTTTTGGCGGGAGTGCCCTTAAAACTAAAATCGTCTCGAAAGGATATGTATTTTAAATATGCCAGCAATCACTTGGTTTAATTCAATTTTAATTCGTCTAGTCTGTTTAGAGCCTAAAAAGTTGTTAAGTGCCACTGTAATGATTGTGAATTAATATTTTTTTGCGCGCCCTCTATTCTAAAATATAATTGCATTGGATTATATTCAATCATACAAAAATAATGTACATTCATTTATTAAGACAAAGAGTAAAGATGTTCTTGATAAATTTTTAGAAGTCTATTCTTGTTTAATTGATAAACGAAAAAAAAACAAATCTTGTAAAAATATTATTCTCTATTTTAAAAAGAATTTGTCTATGTTTCTAGTTTTAATTTTTCCTATGGGAAACAATTACGGAAGTAAAAATCGACGAGAGTATATGATGAATTTTTTAAATACTGCACCATTTGGTATTCAAATTCCCTCGTCACTTCGAGATCCAAGAGATATTACATTTTCAATTCAACAACTTGAACAAATGAAAACAGTTGATGACGCACGCGATATAGCTCTTGGATATTTACATGATTTTAAAAAATTTGCATCAGTTTGGAATTCAAATAAAATTCATCCAGAGACAAGACGTTTGTTACGAAAACTTGTACAAATACAAACAATCAATGCTGTATGCAATAGGTTCTAGAGGAAAAAAGAACAATCAATATATTTTTTCATATGATTTTCTTTGTCTTTATTTAGTTTCTATCGACTACCTGATAATACTAGAATAGAATTAGACAACGATACAATGGCACATGCTGCTCAAAATACAAAAATGTATAGTAATAACTATGAGTATGATACAAATCGACAACAACGTTCTTATGATCAAATAGTTAAGATTTTTGTTGTTAATGAAGATTGTCTTGATACTGTAATATATTTCAAAGAAAAATATCCAAATTGTAATCCAATTGTTCTTAATATGGCTGCTGCTAATTGTCCTGGTGGTGGTTGGCGAAATGGTTTTGTTATTATGTTTTCTTTAATTACGTAGTTTTATTTTATTTTCTTAAGGTTGTGGAGCTCAAGAAGAAAATCTTCATCGTCGTACAAATCTTTTTCAATGTCTCGAAGATTCTTATAATCAATTAGAAGGAAAACGAAATTGGCATTATCCTATACCTGAAGTAAGTTTTAATAATTTTTTAATCTATATGATTAAAATTAAATTATTTTATAGTTTGGTGGTATCTATTCTCCTCATGTGAGTGTATTTCGGGGTTCAGAATCTGATGGTTATCCATTTTTTTCTCATGGTCCCCAATACATATCATTTATTGCTTGTGCTGCCTATTCTCATCCATATATATCGAGAAATAAAGATGGACAAATGGAACTTAATGATCGAGATGTAATAAATAATACAGTGAAAAAAATGGAAACTATTTTCAAAATTGCTCTTGAGAATGAACATGATACTATCATCCTATCGGCATTCGGATGGTAAGTCTATAATTAACATTAGAAATCGATAAATCGAAATTTTAAATATTACTAATAATGAAAAAAATTCAATAATTTTATTAAATCTCTGAGTAAATAGTTTATAGAAAGAACCCTATCGGATTTGACGAACACTCTTAAATTCAAAAGCCATCTATATCATTTTGTAGAGGAGCTCGCGCCAGGCCTAATGGTATGTAGGAAATTGTATTTTCATCAAGCTTTGACGTTCTGAGATCTCATATACTGGTTGATGAGTACTATACAACATTATACTACTTATAAAAGTTGTGACACCAGCATATCTGCAAATTAACTTATAGAAAGTTCTGTCTAGGAGTCATTTCTATAGAAGCTTGCTTGGTGTTGAAGCGCGTATATTTGATAACTTACCTCATTGGTCCCAGAGATGTCCATGGCGGTGGCCGTTATTCACCATTTCGCTAAGGAAATTTTTATCGATTAAAGACAATACATGATCCTCTATTGACCAACATATGTTAGACTTTCGAAAATGACGAAAAGAATTTTTGACCCTCAGATCCATGAAGAGGAGTACGGCGACTGATCCCCACTTGTGTCCTTTGTACTTTCTTATGTTTCTTGTAATTTTTGATGTTTAAGCAGTCACATAAGGTTATGGCATGCAGCTCTATATGATGCGAGGCATATTTCGTGTCTTTTTGAAACATGATATTTTTCGAAGTTCCACGTATCCCTCGAAGGGTCTGAGAACCAAAGCTCTTTTGTCATTTTCGAAACTAATTTATGCCAATCAATAGCAGATCATGTATTGATTTTTATTTTGATAAAAATTTTCTGAGCACAATGGCTAGTAACGGAAAACTAGGATACCATTATGTCGCTAACACGAGAAAAAAATATACCTTTTTCGGGTATTGTACGTTGATACCGCCATGTTTTGATCGACACTATGGTACACTGAAACGTGTCAAAACCGAAATTTTAAGGAAGATAACTAAAGTGGTCTGTATTAGATACGAAGAGACCAATGAGGTGAGTTATCAAATAGACAAGATTCAATAGCAATCAAGTCTCTATAGAAATGACATTTAGAAAGAACTTTGCGTAAGTTGATTTGTCGATATACTAGCATCACAACTTTTATAAACATCATAATATTCTATAGTATCCATCAAAGAGTATATGAAGTCTCATAACGTTAAAGCTTGGTGAAAAATTCGATTTCCTACATACCATTTGACGCATCATGAGCTACTCCACAAAATAAT